AGAGCATAGCAATGGGGTCGAAGAGGTATGGGGTAGGTTTAAAAATGTAGTGTTAGAGTGTTCAGCAGAAGTTTGTGGTTACAGGAAAGTGGTGACAGGAGGAAGAGGAGCGATTGGTGGAATGATGATGTAAAGAGAGTAGTAAGGGAGAAAAAGTTAGCATATGAGAAGTTTTTACAAAGTAGAAGTGATGCAAGGAGGGAAAGAGTATATGGGAAAAAAGAGAGAAGTTAAGAGAGTGGTGAAGCAATGTAAAAGAGAAGCAAATGAGAGAGTGGGTGAGATGTTATCAACAAATTTTGTTGAAAATAAGAAAAAGTTTTGGAGTGAGATTAACAAGTTAAGAAAGCCTAGAGAACAAATGGATTTGTCAGTTAAAATAGGAGAGGAGAGTTATTAAATGGAGAGTTAGAGGTATTGGGAAGATGGAAGGAATATTTTGAGGAATTGTTAAATGTTGATGAAGATAGGGAAGCTTTGATTTCGTGTATAGGGCAAGGAGGAATAACATCTTGTAGGAGTGAGGAAGAGCCAGTTGTGAGTGTGGGGGAAGTTCGTGAGGCAGTAGGTAAAATGAAGGGGGTAAGGCAGCCGGGATTGATGGGATAAAGATAGAAATGTTAAAAGCAGGTGGGGATATAGTTTTGGAGTGGTTGGTGCAATTATTTAATAAATGTATGGAAGAGGGTAAGGTACCTAGGGATTGGCAGAGAGCATGCATAGTTCCTTGTATAAAGGCAAAGGGATAAAGAGAGTGCAAAAATTATAGGGGGATAAGTCTGTTGAGTGTACCTGGTAAAGTGTATGGTAGAGTTATAATTGAAAGAATTAAGAGTAAGACGGAGAATAGGATAGCAGATGAACAAGGAGGCTTTAGGAAAGGTAGGGGGGGTGTGGACCAGGTGTTTACAGTGAAACATATAAGTGAACAGTATTTAGATAAGGCTAAAGAGGTCTTTGTGGCATTTATGGATTTGGAAAAGGCATATGACAGGGTGGATAGGGGGGCAATGTGGCAGATGTTGCAAGTGTATGGTGTAGGAGGTAGGTTACTGAAAGCAGTGAAGAGTTTTTACGAGGATAGTGAGGCTCAAGTTAGAGTATGTAGGAAAGAGGGAAATTTTTTCCAGTAAAAGTAGGCCTTAGACAAGGATGTGTGATGTCACCGTGGTTGTTTAATATATTTATAGATGGGGTTGTAAGAGAAGTAATGCGAGGGTCTTGGCAAGAGGCGTGGAGTTAAAAGATAAGAATCACACACAAAGTGGGAGTTGTCACAGCTGCTCTTTGCTGATGACACTGTGCTCTTGGGAGATTCTGAAGAGAAGTTGCAGAGATTGGTGGATGAATTTGGTAGGGTGTGCAAAGAAGAAAATTAAAGGTGAATACAGGAAAGAGTAAGGTTATGAGGATAACAAAAAAGATTAGGTGATGAAAGATTGGAATATCAGATTGGAAGGAGAGGTATGGAGGAGGTGAACGTATTCAGATATTTGGGAGTGGACGTGTCAGCGGATGGGTCTATGAAAGATGAGGTGAATCATAGAATTGATGAGGGAAAAGAGTGAGTGGTGCACTTAGGAGTCTGTGGAGACAAAGAACTTTGTCCTTGGAGGCAAAGAGGGGAATGTATGAGAGTATAGTTTTACCAACGCTCTTATATGGGTGTGAAGCGTGGTGATGAATGTTGCAGCGAGGGAAGGCTGGAGGCAGTGGAGGATGTCATGTCTGAGGGCAATTGTGTGTGTGAATATAATGCAGAGAATTCGTAGTTTGGAAGTTAGGAGGAGGTGCGGGTTACCAAAACTGTTGTCCAGAGGGCTGAGGAAGGGTTGTTGAGGTGGTTCGGACATGTAGGAGAATGGAGCGAACAGAATGACTTCAAGAGTGTATCAGTCTGTAGTGGAAGGAAGGCGGGGTAGGGGTCGGCCTAGGAAGGGTTGGAGGGAGGGGGTAAAGGAGGTTTTGTGTGCGAGGGGCTTGGACTTCCAGCAGGCATGCGTGAGCGTGTTTGATAGGAGTGAATGGAGACAAATGGTTTTTAATACTTGACGTGCTGTTGGAGTGTGAGCAAAGTAACATTTATGAAGGGATTCAGGGAAACCGGCAGGCGGACTTGAGTCCTGGAGATGGGAAGTACAGTGCCTGCACTCTGAAGGAGGGGTGTTAATGTTGCAGTTTAAAAACTGTAGTGTAAAGCACCCTTCTGGCAAGACAGTGATGGAGTGAATGATGGTGAAAGTTTTTCTTTTTCGGGCCACCCTGCCTTGGTGGGAATCGGCCGGTGTGATAATAAAAAAATAAAAAAAGATGATTTTATGGATTGGCAGAATTTAGAACCTAGAGGTCTCATAATAAAACTAGTTAGCAGATGTTTTGGTTGATTTGGTTAATATTGTGAGATAAGATGATTTTTTAGCAAAGTCCTAAATTTATAAGCTATCGGGGGATCCTTGCCTGTTCCGGTAAGGAGTTCCAGATCTTCGGGCCTTTTATGTGCATAGCGTTCTTGCATAGTGAGAGACTGACTCGAGGGATGTTGAAAAGTGCCTTATGCCTTGTATTGTGGCTGTGCATTCTGTTGTAACTGTCAAGGAATAGTTTTAGGGGAGGGTTTACAGTGGAGTTTAATGTTCTGTATATGTAGTAGGCACAATAAAATGACTGTATGTCTTGTATATTTAGCAAGTTGAGTCTTTTGAAAAGTGGTGGGGTGTGCTGTCTAGCCCAGGAGCTGGTTATCATCTGCACAGCAGCTTTTTGTTGGATTATTGAGGGTCTAAGGTGAATGGCTGTGGTTGAACCCCAGGCACAAATACCATAGGTGAGGTAAGGGTATATTAGAGAGTGGTACAGGGTAAGGAGAGTTGTTTGTGGTATATAGTATCATATCTTGGAAAGGATTCCTACTGATTTAGAAATTTTCTTGGCTATGTGATGGGTATGGGACTGAAATTTAAGATTACAGTCAAGGAGAAGACCTAGAAATTTGCCCTCTGTGTGTCTTGATATAGAGGAACCATTTAACAATATGTTAAGTTGGATATTTGAGGTTCTGTTGCCAAACAGCATGAAGTATGTTTTGTCTGTGTTAAGAGTGAGTTTATTGGTCATCATCCAAGTATATATCTTTAGCATTTCATTGTTTACAGTGTTTCTAAGTACAGCTGGGTCTGAATGGGGGTAGACATATGTAGTGTCATCTGCAAATAGAACTGGTTTAAGGATTTGGGATGCATTGGGGAGATCATTGATGTAGATGAGAAAGAGGAGTGGGGCTAGGACACGACCTTGGGGTAGTGTCCTACAGCTACAGGTTGGATAGCGGAGTTGACTCCATTTGCATGTATATACTGGTTTCTGTTGTTACGATAGGATTTTAGGTAGTCAAGAGAATGTTCTCTGATGCCGTATTGATTCAGTTTGAGGTGCAAGAGATTGTGGTTGACTGTATCAAACGCTTTTCATAGGTCGATAAAGAGCCCCAGAGGATATTCATTTTTATTGAGTGCTGTGTATATTAGTTCAAGCATTTGTATATTAGCATCATTCGTACTTTTTGTTGGTCTAAACCCAAACTGGCATGGGTTAAGTATGTTGTTGGATGTTAGGTAGGAATCAAGTTGCTAGTGTATTATTTTTTCAAATATCTTGGAAAGTAAGGGCAAGTTTGATATGGGTCTATAATTGTTCAAATCAGTTGGATCACTTCCTTTGTGGATCGGGGTGACCCTTGCTGTCTTAAGTATAAATGGGAAGGTTGAGGATGCTACAGATTTGTTAAACATGGTTGCAATAATGGGTGACAGTTCATGTGCAGCTTTTTTATATATGAATGGTGGCAAGTTATCTAGATCACCTGCTTTGTACTTTAATGATTTAATGACAAGTGAGACTTCAGTGGAATTAGTTGGAGCTTGAAATAGAGTATTTGGGTAGTTGCCAGTGAGGTACTCATTCAACTGGGTATTTAAGCTAGGAATTTGACTTGCTAGCTTTGATCCTACAGTAGAGAAGAAGACATTAAATTTGTTGGCTGTGTCTATAGGTTGTATGTGAGGTTCATCTGGTTTAGTTAAGTTTATCTCTCTATTTCCAGACGGTTTCCTAGAGCCCAAAATTTTGGAGGGTGTTAGATAGGAGTGGAGACAAGCGGTTTTTATGATTTAACATGTTGTTGGAGTATGAGCAAGGTAATATTTATGAAGGGAGTCAGGAAAAGTGGTTAGTTGGACTTGAGTCCTAGGGGGTGGGAGGTACAATGCCTGCACTTTGAAGGAGGGGTGGGCATGTTGCAGTTCGGAGAGTCTTGAACTGTGATGTCGGCTCTTCATGCAAGACAGGAATTAAATGAGTGACAGTTAAAGTGTTTTCTTTGTTGGGTCATGCTACCTTGGTGGAAAATGGCTGGTGGGTTAATAATAATAATAACTCCATGGGGGAAGTGGAGAAGAATCCTTCCTCCGGAAGCCATGCGTGTCATAAGAGGTGACTAAAATGCCAGAATCTAGGGGCTATTAACACTTTCTCCTGTATAAATTACTAAATGTAAAAAGAAGGAAAAGTTTCTGAAAGCATTTCTTGTTTTTGGGTCACCGTGCCTCAATGGGAGATGGCCAGTATGTTAAAAGAACATTAGGAATGGAAAGATGCCAAAATTTTTACCACTGCTGATTCTCAGATTTAAGCCAATACTGATACAGTAGCATCTGCCAATACCTACTGATAATGATACTTTAACCCTTAAACGGTCCAAACAGATCAACGTTCAAATCCGTAGTGCTCCAAACGTAGATCTACGTTTTTTTTTTTACATATTTTCGAACATAACCAAAAAACAAATGTAGATAAAAGTTTTTTTTACACATTTTCAAATGAAAAAAAAAAAGATGATCTACATTTTTTTTACATACTTTCAAATGTTGAAAAAACGTATATATACGTTTGGACCATTTAAGGGTTAACACACCCCTGATAATAAAATATATTTTTTTTTGCAGGAGCTTATTTATTGCGCTGTTCCGGCACATCCTGAATGTAGGACAAAAAGGATGTTATCGCACAGCTCTGGAATTGTGTAAACTGCTGCTGAACCTCTCTCCTGATGATGATCCTCTGGCTGTCTCTCTTATGATAGACTTTTATGCCCTCCGTGCCCAGGAATATGAATGGCTTGTTGCACTCTTCGACTTGTATGAACCTTCTAAAAATCTTTCAATGGTATGTAGAAGTCATTGGCATGCATACCTAGTTTAGAATGTATATACAGTGGAACCCTGGTTTTCGTCTGGTCCGGATATCATACAATTCGAATTTCAACCACTTTTTTTGGTAAATTTTTACCCCGGGTTTCGTACATCCGCTCAGAAATTGTCCGTATCAGACGCGTCCACCCATCCGGGATCCTGCTGCTCACACGTACCTGACTCAGTCTGCCTCTGTCACTCGTTCAGTGAACAATACTTCGCTCTTTCATCTGTTGTTTTTGGTGCTTGTTTATTGTGTGCAACTGTGAAATAAGCCACCATGGGGCCAAAGAATGTTTGTAATGACAGCCGTTGGGTAAAGAAGGTGAGAAACATGATAGAATTCAAGAAAGAGCTTGTATCAAAATACGAAAGTGGTGCACATGTGGCCAAGCTTGCCAGGATGTATGGGAAGTCCAAATCAACAATCAGTCTCATCATGGCGAAGAAAGTAAAAATCAAGGATGCTGATGTTGTGAAAGGGGTAAATATGGTAACGAAGCAGAGATCACAAACAATCGAAAATGTGGAGAAGTTGTTAATGTGGATCAACGAAAATCAGTTAGCGGGACATAGTGTTGTAGAGGGCATAATTTACAAAAAGGCAGGGCAGTTACATGCGGATCTTGTAAAGAAAATGCTTGGAACGAGTACTGCTGTTAGTGAATTTAAAGCCAGCAAAGGCTGGTTCAACAGATTCAAGAAGTGAAATGGCATACACAGTGTGGTAAGGCATGGTGAAGCTGCAGGTTTGGGCAAACGTGCGGCCGAAGAATTCATTGATGAAATCAAGGAGTACGTAGAGGCTGAAGGATTCCTCTCTGAACAAGTGTTCAGTTGTGATGAAACAGGCCTCTTTTGGAAGAAAATACCAAAGAGGACCTACATCACGTGGAAGAAAAAGGCAATGCCAGGGCACAAGCCTATGAAGGATAGGCTAACTCTTTTGTTATCTGGCAATGCTAGTGGAGATTTCGAAGTGATGCCTTTACAGGTGTATCACTCTGAAGATCCCTGAGTGTTCAAGAAAAACAGTGTCATGAAGAGTAAATTGTGTATGATGTGGAAGGTTAACAATAAGGCATGGGTCACAAGGCTAATTTTCATTGAGTGGGTCAATGAAGTGTTTAGCCCTAGTGTGAAGAAATACCTCCTGGAAAATAAATTGTCACTTAAGTGCCTCCTGGTAGTGGACAATGCTCCTGCTCATCTTCCAGACTTGGAAGACCAATTGTTGGAGGAGTTTAGTTTCATCACAGTGAAGTTCTTGTCCCCTAATACCACTCCTCTCATCCAGCCCATGGACCAGCAGGTCATTTCAAACTTAAAAAAACTCTGCACCACTGAATTGACCCCAAGAGAGTTCTGGAGGAATCACTTTAGTTTCCTCAGTTGCATAAGCCTTCTAGATAAGGCTGGGCAGGAAGTGACTTCCAGGATGTTGAAGTCTGCTTGGAGAAAATTGTGGCCAAAATGTGACCTCAAGAAGGATTTTGAAGGGTTTGAGGCTGACACTGACGACCCTATGCCTATTATGGAATGTATTGTGTCTTTGGGGAAGTCCATGGGGTTGGATGTGAGTGGCCAAGATGTGAAAGAGTTGGTGGAGGACCACAGGGAAGAGCTAACCATTGAAGAGCTGCAAGACCTACTGGAACAGCAACAGATTGCAGCTGAGAAAATTGCTTCAGAGGAGGAGGAAGAGAGGGGGAGGTGCCTTCTTCAGTGATTAAGGATATTTGTGCAAAGTGCAGTGAATTGCAAAGTTTTGTGGAGAATTATCACCTTAACAAAACTGTTGCAAGCTGTGTCTGCAACATGTTCAGTGACAATGCCTTGTCCCATTTTAGGCAAATCTTAGAGATGCCAGAAACAGAGCTCTCTGGACAGATTTTTTTTTTGTGGCAGGGGTACAGTGACTCTGAAGCTGGTCCTAGTGCCAGTAAAAGAGAAAGAAGGCAAGTAACCCCAGAGAGGGCTTTGATACCTGAAGTCCTTATGGAGGGGGGATTCTCCTTCCAAACACTAAACTTTCCTCTCTCTCCCCTCCTTGCCTTCTTTCATATGCCAACAAGAGTCATCAATAAAGGTATGTAATAGTGATTTAAGTGTTCATTTATCTATTAAAATTAGTGCTTTATATTTATTTCTCATTGTTTTCTGTATATAAAACTATAGTTATTCTCTTTATAATGTATTTTTGTATATATTTTTGGGTGTCTGGAACGGATTAATTGGATTTACATTATTTCTTATGGGAAATATTACTTCGGTTTTCATCCATATTGGATTTCGACTGACCTTCTGGAACGGATTAAGGATGAAAACCGAGGTTCCACTGTAATTCTTTTCTTGTCACCTTTGTCTTTCATATTTTTTGCCACTCAGTATTTTTACAATATCATATACGGTGGACCCTCATTTTTCGTAATTAATCCATTCCAAGGTGTGTGACTATTATCGAAATTGGCGATTTGTGAATCCATTTTCCCCATAAGAAATAATATATAAATCCAATTAATTCGTTCCAGACACCCAAAAGTATCAACAAAAAAAAAATTTTTTACCTTAAAGACAGATTTACATGCACAAAAGAATGAACATTCAACATGACAGTTACCTTTATTGAAGACTGTTATTGATGAATGGAAGACAGGGAGGAGGAGAGCAGGAAGAGAGGGTATTGTTTGGAAGGGGAATCCCCCTCCATGAGGACTCTAGGTCACTTCAGGGGTCACTTCCCTAGCTTAAATATAGATTTACATGCAGAAAAGAATGCCAAATAAATGTAAAGCACTAATAAAATGTATAAATGAACATTTAACATCACACTTACATTTATTGAAGAATCATGTTGGTGTATGGCAAACAGGGCAGAGGAAGGGGAGACGAGTTTATTGTTGGAGAATATGACACTAATATCAACTGTATGGCTTATTTATCTATCACAATTTAACTAATATGACATAATAAACAATATTAATAACATAGAAACATGGAATGTACTCTAGAATTATGCTTGTAACGACAGGTGTTGTGTTGTTGTTGGGTGTATAAGGGCCACTGAGAGAATAAGCCGTACATAATGTTGGTGAAGCTGCAGCTGAGGCGGCGGTGTTTTCTGTAGCCCTGTATAACTCCAGCAGTATTGGAGGAGTTAGTAGAATCACTGAAGAAGGCACCCTCTACCACCATCACAACCACTACCACCTTCTACCACTATCAGTACCACCATTACAACCACTACCACCCTCTACCACTATCACAACTGTTACCACCCTCTACCACCATCACTACCACCCTCTATCACTGTCACAACTGCTACCACCCTCTACCACCACCACTTTCGTATTTTTCTTAAATTATGTGTGTTTCTCACATTCTTTACCAAAGGGCTGGCACTAGAAGCTTTCTTTGCAGCCATGGTGGCTTATTTAGCAGTTGCAAGCACTAAAATGAATGAAATATGAAATGTATCATATGAACTCGTGGGATCATCCTCACTCGCTGATAAAAATGGCACATTGGCTGGGAATGGAGTGTGATGCAGCTGGGAGCCGTGCGTGCACGTCCGAGACGAACAACTATTTGCGAGTCAAACGACGATTCGCGAGTCAATGTTTTCACGAAAAAATGTTACGATTTTCGAAAATTACGGCTTTCGATCCTTAGGAAAAACGAGGGACCACTGTAGTCATATGATAATGTTAATTTAAAAATTGCAGCCTTTAATATTACCCTTATTATTTTAATGCATTTTCCCCTTATAATTAAGGAGGAGGTGTGGTGTTACTAAAAGTATTAGTCGAAGGGCTGAAGAGAGGTTGTTGAGGTGCTTTGGTCATTTAGAGAGAATGGAACAAAGTAGAATGACTTGAAGAACGTATAAATCTGTAGGGCAAGTAAGACGGGGGGTAGGGGTTGTCCTCGAAAAGGTTGGAGGGAAGGGGTAAAGGAGGTTTTGTGGGCGAGGGGCTTGGGCTTCCAGCAAGCATGCATGAGCGTGTGGAGTGGAGAAGAATCTTCCATAGGCCATGCATGTTGTAAATGGGACTGTAAGAGAAATGAATGCTCGGGTGTTGGCAAAAGGTGTAGGATTAAGAGATAAAGAATCTAACATGAAGTAGGAGTTGTCACAGTTGTTTTTAGTTGATATCACTGCATTTGGGAGATTCTGAAGGGAAATTTCAGGGGTTGGTGAATGAGTTTAGTAGGGTATGTAATAGAGGGAAATTAAAATGAACATAGGAAAGAGCAAGGTGATGAGAATAGCAAAAAATTTAGGCAATGAAAGATTGGATATCATATTGAAAGGAGTATGGAAGAAGTGAATGTATTCAGATGAGTTGAATCATAGAATTGATGGGAGGAAAGAAGTGAGTGGTGTACTGAGAAGTCTGTGGAGACAAAGAACTTTGTCCATGGAAACAAAGGGGAGAATGTATGAGAGTATAGTTATACTAATACTCTTATATGGGTGGTGAATGTTGCAAAAAGGAGAAGGCTGGAGGCAGTGTAAATGTTGTGTCTGAGGTCAATGTGTGGTGTGAATATAATGCAGAGAATATGTTGCTTGGAGATTAGAAGGTGTGAGATTTCTAAAAGTATTATCCAGAGGGCTGAGGAAGGGTTGTTGAGGTGGTGTGGGCATTTAGAGAGGATGGAACAAAGTAGAATAATTTGGAGGGAATATAAATTTGTAGTGGAAGGAAGGCAGGGTAGGTGTCATCCCAGGAAATGTGGGAGGGAGGGGGTAAAGGAGGTTTTGTATGCGAGGGGCTTGGACTTCCGGCAAGAGTGTGTGAGCATGTTAGATAGGAGCGAGTGGAGACGAGTGGTTTTTATGACTTAGGCATGCTGTTGGAATGTGATCAGAGTAACATTTTTGAAGGGTTTCAAGGAAACCGGTTAGCTGGATTTGAGTCCTAGAGGTGGGAAGTACAGTCCATGCACTCTGAAGGAGGGGTGTTGATA